CCCAACTGTGCAGAGTAGTGTCGAATGGTAGGGTCATTGAGAGTGGTGAATTGCGAAGTCTGTGTAAGGTCACGGTCGATTTCAAGGTATTGTCCCAGAAAGTTCCTTGACATTCTGAGCAAAAGCATGAAAACTGTGTCAATAACTGAAAGTCGTAATGCTTCCCGGGAGTTCCAGCCTTTACACTGCGAGGACTTCCAGATATTATTATCATCCAGTTTCTTACATTTTTCTCCCGCATAATAAATATACTAATGTTATCTACATTTTAAAATAGATCTCGTTTTATTTTGGAATACACTATGTTCTATTGTGTGGGTCTATTATGAGACTGATCCCAGGGAGTATTTTGTTATCTGGGTTCGTACGGAGTAGGTGCCTCACGAAGTAATGTGTTCGTAAATTATTGTTTGGAGAGGATGAGTAAGTTATTATGATCCATTTTAAGGCACTATCTTTATATTTACCTTGAATGACTGGGTAAAGTAACGGAACACATGAAAACTAAACGTCACAAAGCAATGCTCCTAGATGTCTGTTGGAGTAGTGACGTTTATGTGGCAGAAATGATGGCATTCATTTCGGACACGCCCTTCAATAACAATGCGATGAGCACATCTCTCTTCCAGATTTAATGGATAACCTTGTAGCGCGCCATTGTTTTCCTCTGACGTGTATTAAGCTTGTGTTATGTGACTTACGAGGCGCGTGATGTCGTGAAAAACTGAAAGTCCGCTTCGAGTCTCGGAGGACTTGTTTCTCAATACTTAAAAGAAAATACTGGGGTGGAACCATAAACTAGACCCCATTTACATGACAGAAAAATGGGAATGTCTTTCCGGAGTGGGGAAGGAGACGCAGGTACTAAAGGAAACGAACTAAACCAGAAAAACCGTAGTAATTAGCGAATTGTTGTGTCAAAGTGGCTACATCGTCGTAACATTTTACCACAGATGATGTAAAGAATGTAGCGCCGTATGAAAACTGTAACACTTAAGAATGGAAACAAATTATTTGTAATAACTTTCACTCTTTGTACTTTTCCGTATTTTGCCAAGTAAAAATTTTTTTCGATCGATGGCTTGCGAACTTATGGGACACATTGTATATTCT